AACCTCGCTGGCACCTGACCAAAATGACCAATGAGGAGACAAGATACTTTCAAAAGCTGGGAGGAGGGAGAGAAACAAAGGGTCTGTGTCTGTCGGTATGCTGCTTTTGCCGGGGTTAGACCAGGAATGGAGTCTTAGAACTTTTAGTAAGTAATCTAGCTAGGTATGTGTTAGATTATGATTTCTTTAAATGGCTGAGAAAAGAATTGTGCTGAATAGAATAACTATTTCTGTCTGTGTATCTTTTTTGTAACCTAAGGTTTTGCCTAGAGGGATTCTCTGTGTTTTGAATCTAATTACCCTGTAAGGTATCTACCATCCTGATTTTACAGAGGTGATTCCTTTACTTCTGCTTACTTCTATTTCTATTAAAAGTCTTCTTATAAGAAAACTGAATGCTTTTTATTGTTCTCAGATCCAAGGGTTTGGGTCTGTGGTCACCTATGCAAATTGGTGAGGATTTTTACCAAACCTTTCCCAGGAAGTGGGGTGCAAGGGTTGGGAGGATTTTGGGGGGAAAGACGTGTCCAAACTATGTTTCCCAGTAAACCCAATTAGAGTTTGGTGGTGGCAGTGGATATTCCAAGGACAAAGGATAAAATTAATTTGTACCTTGGGGAAGTTTTAACCTAAGCTGGTAAAAGTAAGCTTAAGAGGTTTTCATGCAGGTCCCCACATCTGTACCCTAGAGTTCAGAATGCGGGAGGAACCTTGACAATCATTTTCTCACTTTCAGTCTTATTCCATCTGAGAATGCTATTAGTTTGTCTATAAAGTTCCAGGATAGACAAAATCTGAACTTCTAATGCAGAAAAGAATAACGTTATTAAATATAAAAGTTATAAATTCATTATTTTTTCTTTGCAAGTTCAGGTCACCTTTAAACAGCTACTTGTGTTCCCCTAGAGCAGGGGTGGGCAAACTGCAGGCTACATCCAGCCTGCCAGCTGTTTTAGTCCGGCCCTTGAGCTCCCAGTGGGGAGCTAGGTTTGGGGCTTGCCCTGCTCCGGCGCTTCACCGGGGAGCAAGGTTGGGGGCTGTGCCGTGTGGCTCCCAGAAGCAGAGGCATGTCTCTCCCCCCCCCACCCCGCAGCTCCTAGGCATAGGGGCAGCCGGGGGCTCCACTCCACACACTGCCCCCACCGCAAGCGCACTCCCCCTGCCCCAGCCCGGAGCCTGCATGGTGGGAGGCGTGGAGGGAAGTGTTCATCACATAATTTGTGTAATTTTGACTTTCATTAATTTTAGAGCTGTCAAGCGATGAACCCTGAACTCCTCATTTCTGGCCCCACCCCAGAGCCCGCACCCCAACCACAATTTTGTGAGCATTCTTGGCTCACCATACAATTCCTATACCCAGATGTGGCCCTCAGGCCAAAAAGTTTGCCCACCCCTGCCCTAGAAGTAGGTATTTACATAGTATAGATCCTTAAAGATGCAATTTTGATTTGTGAGTAATATGTGATTACAAATAACTTTTGATATTAACACTTCATTAAAATGAATGAAAAAATTTCACACTTATTTTTTTATTCTGCTATCCTTACTTCCCCTGCTGCTTTCTCCAGTGACCAAAATCTCCTTATTGTTAGTGAGGTTTACACATGTGCACTGAATGGACAGTTGACCCCTAATAGATTTACAGTGAGGAGACAACCTTCATAACCAGAGACTTTCTTTTGTGTAGAATATAGCAGTCTTCATAAGTACCTTTCCTAGTAGTTCTTTCCATTCCCTGGATCTGAATTACTTCAACCCCTAATATCATTGAACCATTCTTCTGTGTTTTACTTTTTTCTCTTCATATTTTTTGTTGGTGGGGTTGCTTAACTATATTTAATACTTTAAGGCATTAAAACACGTAGAAAAACAGTTGATATAATTAAAATTCCCTTAGTTGTCCCACTGTGGACCAATTCCAGGAGAGTTCTGACACAGTTGTGACATCAGCATCATGATGCATGTTAGGGTATCATAGCTAAGGCTAAGATTTTGTCATGGTTATTTTTGTAAACATCACAGACAGGTCACTGGCAATAAACAAAAATTCACGGAAGCTGTGACCTGTCTATGACTTGCTGCTGCGGCTTCATGGTTTTCCCCCGCCACCGTGGTGACTAGGAGCTGTGGGGTACCCCGTCAGCCCACGGCAGCTGGAAGCTGCAGGGGGGTCCCCCTCCACCCATGACAGCTGGGAGCTGCAGGGTGACCATATTTCCCAAAGAGAAAATGGGACACCCTGAGCCACTTGCCCAAGGCATCCTGTCCTGTTACCCCCCCGCAAACCAAGGCTGTCATCCGTAGCTGGAACCCTGAGGAGGGCCCCCTCAGGAGTCCGTCACCTGTCACTGGAACCTTTCAGAGAGCCCCCTGTCTTCTGTAGCTGGAACCCTGCCAGGGCCCCACTGGCTGCTGGCTCCAGGGTCCCAAAGCCCCTGGGGCTGAAGCAGAGAATGTCATGGAGGTCTCTGGAAGTGACTTCCATGACCTCTGTGACATAAATGTAGCCTTAATCATAGCAGAACAGGAGCTCATCTGATCGAGGAGGGGGTCAGAAGATCCAAAAGAAGAATTAGGAAGAGTTTGTGGGGTCGCAGAATGTTGTCCTGTGCCGGATTAGAGAGATTGTGGACCAGGGAGGTGTTGATCACATAACTTGTGTAATTTTGACTTTCATTAATTTTAGGGCTGTCAAGCGATCAAAAAAATTAATCACACGATTAAACAATAATAAAATACCATTTATTTAAATATTTTTGGATATTTTCTACATTTTCAAATATATTCATTTCAGTTGCAACGCAGAATACAAAGTGTACATGCTCACTATATTTTTATTACAAATATTTGCACCATAAAAAACAAAATAGTATTTTTCAATTCACCTAATACAAGTAGAACTATCTACAAAAAATAACTGCATTCAAAAATAAAACAATGTAAAACTTTAGATCCTACAGATCCACTGAGTCCTACTTCAGCCAATTGCTCAAACAAGTTTGGTTACAATTTTCAGGAGATAATACTGCCCACTTCTTGTTTTACAATGTCACCTGAAAGTGAGAACAGGTGTTAGCATGGCACTGCTGTAGCCAGCGTTGCAGGATATTTACATGCCAGGTGTGCTAAATATTCATTTGTCCCTTCATGGTTCAACCACCATTCCAGAGGACATGCATCCATAATAATGACGGGTTCTGCTCGATAACAATCCAAAGCAGAGCGGACCAACGCATGTTCATTTTCATCATCTGAGTCAGATGCCACCAGCAGAAGATTGATTTTCTTTTTTGGTGGTTCAGGTTCTGTAGTTTCTGCATCCAAGTGTTGCTCTTTTAAGACTTCTAAAAGCATGCTCCACACCTTGTCCCTCTCAGATTTTGGACGATTCTTAAACCTTGGGTCAAGTGCTGTAGCTGTTTTTACTAATCTCACACCGGTACCTTCTTTGCGTTTTGTCAAATCTGCTGTGAAAGTGTTCTTAAAATGAACATGTGCTGGGTCATCATCTGAGACTGCTATATAAAACAGAAGAGGAGACATAATTCTCCCTCAAGGAGTTCAGTCACAAATTTAATTAACTTTTTTTTTTTTTTTTTTTTTTTGGAGTATCATTAGCATGGAAGCATGTCCATTGGAATGGTGACCAAAGCATGAAGGGGCATACAAATGTTTAGCATATGTGGCATGTAAATACTTTGCAATGCCAGCTGCAAAAGTGCTATGCGAACGCCTGGTCTCTCTTTCAGGTGACATTGTAAATAAGAAGCAGGCAGCAATATCTCCTGAAAATTGTAACCAAACTTGTTTGAGCAATTGGCTGAAGTAGGACTTTAATTTTGAATGCAGTTATGTAACAAAAAATTGACATTTGTAAGTTACGCTGTCACAATCAAGAGCTTGCATTACAGTACTTGTATGAGGGGAATTGAAACATGCGATTTCTTATTTTTACAGTGCAAATGTTTGTAATCAAAAATAAAAAAAATAAAGTGAGCACTGTACACTTTGTATTCTGTGTTGTAATAGAAATCAATATGTTTGAAAAGGTAGAAAAAAATCCCAAAATAATTGCAATTGGTATTCTATTGTTTAACAGTGCGATTAATCATGATTAATTTTTTAATCACAATTTTTTGAGTTAATCGTGTAAGTTAACTGTGATTAATCAACAGGCCTAATTAATTTGCATTTCAACGTCAAGCAAAATAGTCAAAAAGTCGTTCTGACTAGTGTTCCCTCTAATTTTTCCCACACACATCAGAATGAATTTTGTTATGTGCACCAATACGGAGGTGATGTGTCACACGTCACCTCCATATTGGTGCACATAACAAAATTCATGTGGTGGGGGTGGGGCCAAAAGGTTTGGAGTGTGGGAGGGGTTCAGGGCTGGGACAGAGGTTGTGATGTGTGTGGGTGCAGGCTGTGGGGTGGGGCCAGGGATGAGGGGCTCAGAGCTGGGGCAGAGCATTGAGGTATGGGGGGGTGAGGGCTCCAGCTGTGGGTGCAGGCTCTGGGGTGAAGAAGGGAATGCAGGGTTTGGGGTGCCCTGGGGCTATGGTGGGGAGAGAGGACTCCCCCAGCTCTCTCTCTCTCCCCATAGCAGCACCTGAGCTGGGGCAGAGAGGTGCCTCTCCCCACTGTGAAGCTCCAAGGTTGGGGCCATTGGATAGGCGCCTCTCCCCCAGCCGTGGCAGGTCCGGGCCGCGGCAGGGGTAGGGTGCCTCTCCCCTGGCCGTGGCAGGTCCGGGGCTGGGATGGGCGCCAGCGGGGAGAGGCATCTCTCCCTGCCAGAGCCCTGAGTGCCTGCGCGGTGCTTAATAGGCTGCTGTGCGGCCTCGCAGCTTAGAGGGAATTTAGGTTCTGACCATATTTTTTACATGAGGAAATAATGGCACTCTAGCCATAAAACAAACAAGTAAGGTACCGTATTATGGGATTGAAGTCTTACCTTTTCTCCTGTTTTTTTTTTTGTTCTTGTTTTTTTTTTCTGGTAGAAGAAAGTGCAGTGTTAAAGAATTGTTCAACTTCTGCTGGACGCTCTTTGTTTACACCAAGGGTAAGCTGTTTTCATTAGCTGCCTGCATTGTACACATTTTGAGTGATTAACTTTGTGGTTTTATTTGATGTGATTTGCTGTCTTTTAAAGGTAATTTTCGTATGATTGGAGATGATTTAGTAAATTCCTATCATTTGCTTCTGTGCTGCTTGGACCTGATTTTTGCAAATGCCCTTTTGTACCCAGATAGGAGAGAGTTGCTAAATCCATCATTCAAAGGTATGTTAGTGTTTGCATTTGAAAGACATTTTTTCTTGTTTGTTCTTTTTGAAATATAATTGATAGCTGACCTTTTTGTTTTTTCCAGGTTTACCAGCAGACTTTCACACTGCTGAAGTCAAGACCTCTGAAGAGCCTCCTTGCATCATTGCCACACTTTGTGAACTACATGATGGACTTATGGTAGAAGCCAAAGGAATAAAGGAACACTACTTTAAACCATACATTTCAAAGCTCTTTGATAGGAAGGTACGTACTAATAACTTAAGAGTTTATAAAATGGTAGCATAAAACTGGGTGATCGAGCAACAAAATGGCAGATGAAATTCAGTGGTAATAAATGCAAAGTAATGCACATTGGAAAACATAATCTCAATTATACATATAAAATGATGGGGTCTAAATTAGCTGTTGCCACTCAAGAAAGATCTTGGAGTCATTGTGGATAGTTCTCTGAAAATATCCACTCAATGTGCAGCAGCAGTCAGAAAAGTTAACAGAATGTTGGGACTCATTAAGAAATAGATAGATAATAAGACAGAAAATGTCATATTACCTCTATATAAATCCATGGTATGTCCACATCTTGAATACTGCGTGTAGATGTGGTCAGTCCATCTCAAAAAAGATATATTGGAAAAGATTCAGAAAAAAGAGCAACAAAAATGATTAGGGGTATGGAACGGCTTCCATGTGAGGAGAGATTAATAAGACTGGACTTTTCAGCCTGGAAAAGATACGACTAAGGGGGATCTGACAGACGTCTATAAAATCATGACTGGTGTGGAGAAAGTAAATAAGGAAATGTTATTTACTCCTTCTCATAACACAAGAACTAGGGGTCACCAAATGAAATGAATAGGGAACAGGTTTAAAACAAACAAAAGAAAGTATTCACACATCGCACAGTCAACCTGTAGAACTCTTTGCCAGAGGATGTTGTGAAGGCCAAGACTACAACAGGGTTCAAAAAAGAACTACACCTATCCTCCATGAATTTCTGTATCAGTGGCTATTAGCCAGGATGGGCAGGGATGGTGTCTTGAGCCTCTGTTCGCCAGAAGCTGGGAATGGGCGACAGGGGGTGGATCACTTGATGATGACCTATTCTACTCATTTCCTCTGAAGCACCTGGCATTGGCTACTATCAGAAAACAGGATACTGGACTAGATGGACCTTTGATCTGATCCAGTATGGCCATTTTTATGTGCTTATAATGGTAGCATCCATATAAAGAAATGATCCTTACACATAAACAAAGGAGTGCAAGTGGGGATGTAAAATAGAAACAAATGGACACAGTGATTGGCACAGGTTTTGGTAGTTGGACATTTTGGCAGAAGTGGGTATTTTTGTTTAAACATTTTCTTTCAAGTTGCAGTGGGGGAGGTTTAGATTGGATATTAGGAAAAACTTTTTCACTAAGAGGGTGGTGAAACACTGGAATGCGTTACCTAGGGAGGTGGTAGAATCTCCTTCCTTAGAGGTTTTTAAGGTCAGGCTTGACAAAGCCCTGGCTGGGATGATTTAACTGGGAATTGGTCCTGCTTCAAGCAGGGGGTTGGACTAGATGACCTTCTGGGGTCCCTTCCAACCCTGATATTCTATGATTCTATGATTCTTCTGTGAAGGAGAGAGATTAGTTAGGGTTGTGGGGTTTTTGTTGTTGTTTGGTTTCCCCAGTTATACACTAGCAGAGAACTCCTGCCTTCTCCTCTTGATTCCATTATGTGGACTGGCTAAGGCCCTGTCTATACTGGGACCAGAACAGTGCTAGTGAGAGCACTGTTTAAATATACCAGCAGAATTCTAGCATTGTGATAAGTGTGGACAGGAACTTTCTGACTGAGAATTATGTGAGAACTATGTTATAAAGCAATTTTATAGACTACCTATGGGGATAGTCGGTAGCATAGTTCTCTGGCTAGGATATAGCAAAACATTGTCAGAGTGAGGAGGCTTATACTGCTGAGATGTTGTCTGTACAACAAATTCATCCTCACTGGTCTTGTGCAGCAAAAATCCAGAGAATGATTTTGATCCTAGTCATCTGCATTACAATTAAACTATCATGCATCCACTCTTCTGGAATTGAACAGGTTTTGGATTTACTACCTTTTAAAAATTGTATTACATATAATCTTATTTTTCAACTGTCTTGTTTCCAGATTTTAAAAGGAGACTGCCTCTTGGATTTTTGCAGCTTTGCAGATAACAAGTAAGTGCTGGATGATGCTCTTAAGCAATGATAACGTTAAGCCATTTATACATGCAAGAAACATCTCAGCTCTGCTCCACGGCTGTTTCGTTTTCCAGTGGGAGCAGAGTTTAACTCACTTCCTTCAATACTTACTGGAAACCAAGTCTTGGAGGGTCACCAGCAGCAAGAGAGGCCAGGGAGACCAGGCCCTGCAGTGAGCCCAAGGGAATCAGGATAGGGCAGTGGTTCTCAACCCGTGGCCCATGGTTCGCTTACGGCCCAATCAGCACATAGCTGCAGCCCATGTGACATCCTCAGGGCCATACAGGTAGTATATATATTGTGTGGATGCGGCCCACATAACACACAGAGAACTGCATATGTGGCCCATAATGGTAAATAGGTTGAGAACCATTAGGTTATGGTGTTAGAAAAAGGGAGTCAAGGCATTTGTTAGTATGTGCACTATTACTGATATTGGTTAGGTTCCAATCACAGGGAGTGCTATTACTAAAATTAATAAATGTTTTGACTATTCATTGTTTTCAACTGTATAGACTAATTCCATTGGCTAGTTTATCTGGCTTCTTTAACAGCTGAACCCTTAATAAATGCAGTATGGCTTCTTTTCCAGCAAAGCATTGAATAAGGAGTATGAAGAGTATGTTTTATCAGTGGGTGACTTTGATGAGAGGGTTTTCTTAGGAGCAGATGCAGAAGAAGAAATTGGAACTCCCCGAAAGTTTGCTGCTGATGTGCCAATGGGGAAAACAACAACAAGAGCTCACGTGGAGTGTCATCTTCAGCAGCATTTTGAAAAGGTAATGTAACCTGTCTGTTTCACTCTTATTATTTACATATGCAGGTTTCAATGCCCACTGTTTGTCAGAAATTGGGGAAAATACATTTTACATGTAACCCAAGAATATTGTTCATTATATCTCTTTCTCTGTGCTTCAGTAGATGATAATACTTCAAATATCTGGAAATAGGAACTCAGTCTTCACAGGATGCTTTGTCATGTGAAGTAATATACTTCAGCATTAAAAAATGTGTTTTAAGGAGATTAGTCTGAAAATATAGGCTTTGTATCTGGGGTTTTTTTTAAGCCAGTACAACCAAATAAGAGTATTATGAAATCTTAAAATGTTTTGATTAAAAAAAAAAAAATTAACCGTTCTCCAAGGCAGTTAACCCCAACACATTTTGCTATTTTGTGAAAAACAGAAATCAAAACACACTAGAAACAAAGTGCCTTTCATCTGTCTAGTTTCATTGTCCATGCTGGGTGAACTGCAAAAATTAAGCCAGCGGCATAAATCTATTTATTTCTCATTATCTTAAACTGGTGTTTGATATGAGCATGGGAAAAATATTTTCCGTGGTCACTTTAAAAGAAGGGGAAAAATAAGAATTAGCTGTCAGAAAGATGGGGTATACTGGGTAGTTGTAACCATGTCAGTCCCAGGATATTAGAGACACAAGGTGGGTGAAGTAATATCGTTTATTGGACCAACTTCTGTTAGTCAGAGAGAAGCTTTCAAGCCACACAGAGCTCTTCTTCAGGTCTGGGAAAGGTATTCCGAGAGTTACAGCTAAATGCAAAATGGAACAGATTGTTTGTTTAGCATAAGTAGTAAGTACATATTCTAAGAGACCATTCAACCCACAGAACACCATCTCTGGGAGAAACCATGGCACCAGTGCCCACCACATGGACACTATACGACACCCAAATATCATCAATTTGTAAAGCCTACCCCTCACTGGAGCTGAATTATCTATATTCTCTAAGGGACTGAACTTCTGCCCCACCACAGTACTGGATACCATCCTAACATGGAGAACTAGACGAGTTGTTCCACCATTTCTGCATCAAAGAGTTCTTCCACAACAGTGACGACACCACTCACAGTTACCACATTTCCACCGAAAATCACAAGAAAAAAGAATCTTCTGACTAGACATCACAGAGCAGATGAACCCACACTCTTGATCATTACATTGATTGCTTCAGGAAAAAAATTGATGATAAAATCCTTAACAAACATCAAATCCACCATAATCTCTCCACTGCCGAGAGGAGAGCCATACAATCACTGAAATCTAACCACAAGATAGTGATCAAACCAGCAGACAAAAAGGGTGGCATTGTAGTCCTCAAATGTGATGACTTTAGTTAACGAGGCCAACCAACAACTCTCCAACACCACTTACTATAAGGAACTCAAGGATGACCACACGCCAAAGTTTATCCAGGAACTTAAGGATATCATCAAAATCCTCCCCTCCCAAAAAACTCCAAGAGAAAAATCTACAAACTCATCAGCATGAACCCACCCCAGGGACCTTCTACATGCTTCCCAAGATAGACAAACAAGGGATCCCAGGCAGACCCATCATATCTGGCCAAGGCACTCTAACTGAAGGAATATTGGTACTCTCAGAAATCATCCTCAAATCACGCACTACACAAAGGGCCAGCTTTCTCCAGGATACCAATGACTTACTCCACAAACATTACAGCATTAACAACCTCCCTCAGAACACCATTCTTGCCACCACGGATGTCACTTCTCTATACACCAACATCTATCACAATGACAGCATAGCTGCCTGCTTCAAATATTTACAAGACAATAGACAACCCTCTCATCCTTTTCATCCATACCCATAACAATTTACATTCAACAACAAACATTTTGCCCAAACCATGGGAGCAGCCGTGGGTATTAGGATGGCTCCCCAATATGCCAACCTGTTCATGAAGAAGAATTTCTGGAAAAATGCACCATGAAACCAATGATATACCTGAGATACAGCAAGAATATTTCCATCCTTTGAGAGAGTTTAAGCTGTCTGTCCATAGATTTTCACCAAAACTTCCACCACCACCACCATCCATTAAACTTTCTCTGGGACACTTCCACACTAGCATCAACTTCCTGGGAACCACAATCAGATCCAGCAGTGAAATCCTATAGAGAAACATATACAAGAAACCCACCACACCTACCTTTATAGATTTAGTAGCCACCCAAAACACACCAAAGAATCTGTTATCTACAGCCAGATACCAAAGAATATGCTCCAAGGAGAAAGTCTGGGGTATACACCTTTACACACTTAACTGTCTTCACCAAACAAGGACACTCCGCCATAGAAATAGATTGCATCGTGGAACAGGCCACCTAAATACTCAGAGAACCTGCTTCAATGCAGAAATAAAACCCCCTCCAACTACATACCCCTAGTTGTTGCCTACCATCCCACTGGAACCTATATGGGGTATCATCAAACAGTTACAACCCATACTTGATGTGGACCCAATCCTGCAAAGATTTCATGGGGGAGACGAGCATTTCTCAAATTGGGGGCCCCGACCCAAAAGGGAGTTGCCGGGGGAGGGGGGGGGTGTCACAAGGTTATTTTAGGAGGGCCATGGTATTGCCACCTTTACTTCTGTGCTGCCTTCAGAGCTGGGTGGCCAGAGAGCAGCGGCTGTTGGCTGGGCATCCAGCTCTGACAATGGCGCCCCAGCAGCAGCGCAGAAGTAAGGGTGGCAATACCATACCAGGCCACCCTTACTTCTGTGCTGCTGCCTTCAGAGCTGGGTGGCTGGAGAGTGGCAGCTGCTGACTGAGGGCCCACCTCTGCAGGCAGCAGCACAGAAGTAAGGGTGGCAATACCACACCAGGCCATCCTTACTTCTGCGCTGCTGCTGGCAGGAGCTCTGCCATCAGAGCTGGGCTCCCGGCCAGCAGCCACCACTCTCCAACTACCACCACCAGCAATTGTGCATAAAAGAACAGAAACAGTACCACCTACAACAACCTTGCAAACCCCCCCCCCCCCCCCCCCCAAATTCTCCCCCAGTTCCTTTTTGGGTTAGGACCACTACAATTACAACACCGTGAAATTTCAGATTTAAATAAAAAGAAAAGGAGTACTTGTGGCACCTTAGAGACTAACCAATTTATTTGAGCATAAGCTTTCGTGAGCTACAGCTCACTTCATCGGATGCATACTGTGGAAACTGCAGAAGACATTATATACACAGAGACCATGTTTCCACAGTATGCATCCGATGAAGTGAGCTGTAGCTCATGAAAGCTTATGCTCAAATAAATTGGTTAGTCTCTAAGGTGCCACAAGTACTCCTTTTCTTTTTGCGAATACAGACTAACATGGCTGTTACTCTGAAACCAGATTTAAATAGCTGCAATAATTGATAATCTTTAAAATCCTGTGACTGAAATTGACGAAAATGGACTGTGAATTTGGTAGGGCCCTACTTATTACAACAGTCTGTAACCAATAACCCCCTCTTTTTGTCCTATGACTCCAGAGGGGCCACTCCTCTTTGAATGGTCCCTTAATACACTTGTTCTCAAACTTATTTGACCACGCTCCCCTTCTTTGTGTCTGTCCCCCCGCCACTACACAGTACATATACCGATTTAAAAAAAAATATCACCATACAACTCTTACTAAATATTAAAAACAGTAAGGCAGTTATTCAAACAGCCATTTAAGTATATAGTAATTTAAATTTTTAGTGATATACTGCTTACTGGCATCACACTGTTGTTACTAGTATGATGGGTGCACCTGTTTTTGGAGCAGAGCAATTCCATCTTGGGTTAGATGCTTGAGACAGCTATCTGGAGATCTCCTTGTACCTGAAGATGAGATCATTGTTAGTTTTTAATGTACAGTAAAGTAGTTCAGAAAAGTTTTGGCCTTCTCTGGTTTTCACTTGAGTTGGGGTATTTTTTTTCTGTTGCACAAATGAGCCAATGATCCACTGTAATAAGAGCAAAAGCAAAACTGTGATTGTGGTTGATGCTTACAATTAAATGAGCATACCACATTGTAGCAAACAGATTTAATGTACAGATGGCAACAACTTTATATAATGCTATGCAAGCTTAACAGAAATCCGTCAAAATGCACAGCGCCATCTGAGGATTTGATACGTCTGGAGGAATCAGCTTTGCTAGTTATTAATTGCTGTGGGTAAAATGTGTGCACTAAGGGGTTTTTGTTTTTTCCCTAGAGCATCTCATACCTGTCCCCCTAGAAAACATTTTGCAGCCCCCCTCGGGGGGTGCACCCACCAGTTTGAGAATCTCTGCCTTAATATATGCTAACTACTTATGCTAAACAATCTGTTCCACCTTGCATTTAGCTGTGATGCTCAGACCTGAAGAAGGAGCTGTGTGGTGGTCAAAAGCTTCTCTTTATCACCAACAGAAGTTGGTTAAATAAAAGATATTACCTCACCCATCTTGTCTCTCTGAAGGATGGTGCGTCAATTACAGTTGACAAGTGTTACTAGTTTCATGCTGCTTAGACAGTTTCAAAAATAAGTTGGATACAGCTGAAAAAGAATTGTTCCTAGAAGCTAGCACTGGTACAGATCAGTTTTGTAAAATCATTCTTCAATACAGTGCAAAGCTATTGGGCTTTATATTTGACGTTTAATGAGTGAATGTGCAGTGATTTTGACTCATTTTGCCCATTTTGAACTTTAAAATTTTCATAGCACAGCAGATCCTTTCTTATGCTTTCTGATTACTTATAAATTGTGACTTTGAAGGCTCTGGCTAACCTTGATCCTTCCAACTTTTCTGAAAAGTAGCCATCTTAATATTACAAAAAGTAACATTTTCTTACGTTATTCATATCTTGAATTGTGGAAATGGAAAATATAATCAATACAGTCCAGGATTGTGCTCCAGCCACTTTGTGCCACTCCATTGGTATTAAGTAGCTTTCAAATAGATGGATCCATCCCCCAGAGCATCTCTTCCCATGTAAGGGGATCCTCGGGTGGTATAGCAGCTTCAGTGCCATTTCAGTGGCTGGTGGGGAAGATGGCATAGGTGGGGCTTCTTTAGCTGTGAATCACCACAACATGCTATAATGAGGTTGCAGGCATGTGGTGCAGGCTAGAGCAGCCTTCAGGCTGGTTTAACTTGGACCGGAAGACTTGTACATAGCAGTCCTGTGACTGGTAGTGAATTGGGCACCTTTGGAAGTGGATGGGGAATCCCCCTCATCTGTGTCAAATGCTCCTTGATTGCAGCTGGGAATCTGTCCCAAAATAATGCTAATATCAAATAGTTTGTTTCTTAAAATTACATTAATTCACTTCTAAAGGAAGCTCAGTCTTCTTAATGGGAAACTTTTGTGCTAAGGAGTGAACTGGGGTCTGTAGATAATGAAGTGAGGCAAGGATAGACTAGGGGGAAGTGTTTTACATAAAGGGGAGCAGAGGCTTTAAGTGGGTAGTGCAAAAAAGGTTGGTTGTTTATATATAGTCTTTCAATGTTTACAAATACTGCTTCAGCTTTCTTTGGATATCATTGCTTCGCTTGAAATATTAGTACATTTTGTAAAATATATACATAGTTTAAACCCAAATGTGTTGCATGCAGAGAAGAGCTTTGGAACTGAATTGTAATTGCTGCATGTAGGATAAATATATTAAGATTAAAAGGGGAGGTTGATTATATAGTAGTTCTGTGTCATCAGGTAGTTATGGCTATGCATTGGAGTACTCTTGCCTTTACCATTTGTCAGTGTTTAAGTGATCTTAAACCTCTTGTCTATGTTTTTAAGACGTTTAAGTCTTGTATTTTATTGATTTCTCTCTTTGTTTAAACTTCTGACTTTTAGTTTGGGGATTTTATTAAGTTTGTAATTTATTATAGAACTTGCCCTTAAAAACACTTTATTTTAAATCTCAGCCATTTTGTGGTAGTGACGGTATACTCATTTTCTCTGTGGTTTGTGGTGTAGCTGTGAGTTTTGGGAATGACTTTGTAGTTCATGTCTCAGAACATCTGTAGAAACACAATTTTTGATGATTAACTTATTTTCTATCTTACTTGGCAGAAAAGATCATTTGCACCTTCTACACCACTGACAGGAAGGAGGTACCTGAGAGAGAAGGAAGCAGTAATCACTCCTGTTGCTTCAGCAACACAAAGTGTGAGCCGTTTACAGAGCATTGTGGCTGGGTTGAAAAATGCGCCAAGTGAACAGCTTATAGCTATCTTTGAGTAAGCATGTCACTAACCCCTACTTTCATTACAAAAGGTGACCCCTCTCTTCAGACTTGGTTTTGTTAGGCTACTACATTTTTGCTCCATGCTCAAGTCTCTTTAAAGGGTTTTATGAGGGTTGCTGGGGGAAAAAAAAAATCCGTCTTCTTAGTGTTTCCATTTGAAAGACCTTATTGTGAGGACCTAAACCTTTTATTTCTTAATGAATCTGTGCTTCTGGAAAAGTATGGCTTTTAAAAAAACTTCATTACTTACTGTTAGATTAATAGGGCCAAATTTTTTTTTACTCATCAGCTAAACATAATTTGTGCATCTGCTTTTTATTGACACGGAGTGTGGGAGGGGGCTCAGGACAGGTGTTGGGGTGCAGGGAGGGGTGCAGAGTGCAGGAGGGGGATCAGGGAGGGGGTTGGGTGCAGGAGGAGGCTCCAGGCAGGGGTTTGGGGTGCAGGAGGTATGTGGGGTGCAGCAGGGGGTTCAGGGTGCAGGCTCCAGTCTGGCGCCACTTACCTTGAGTGGCTCCGGGGTGGCAACGGCACGCAGCAGGGCTAAGGTGGGCTCCCTGCCTGCCCTGGTCCCGTGCCACTCCCAGAAGTGGACGACACCACGTCCCTGCGGCCCCTGGGGGAGGGGAGGCAGAGGGCTCCGTGCGCTGTCCTCGCCTGCGGGTACCTCCCCCGAAGCTCCCATTGGCCGCGTTTCCCCGTTCCCGGCCAGTGGGAGCAGCGGGGTGCAGTCCACGCAGGTGAGGGAAGTGCCTGAAACCCTCTGCCCCCTCTTCCCCCAGGGGCCGCAGGGACGTGGTACCAGCCGCTTCTGGGAGCAGCGCGGGACCCACAGTGCCACGGGGGTAGCGATTGCATGCTCCGCGCCACTCCCAGAAGCGGCTGGCACCACATCCTGGATCCGGCCCACGGGCCATAGTTTGCCCACCACTGGTCTAGGGGAACATTCTAGTTGTATCTTAATTGGGCTACTGAAAGGTAATTATTGGTAGCCCAAGTTATCTCTGGTGCAAATATTATATGGATATCAAAGTACTGAGGTGTTATACTCTGACTAGCATTACTTTCCATCCATTTCCTCTTTTTTTTTTTATTTGAATCAATAGGTTTCTTCTTCTTCTTTCCTCCTTTCTCCCCGCATAAAAAAAAAAAAAAAACACAAACAAACAAAAAAACACACCAATCTGTTTTGGTCTTAATTGTGTGGTAGCAATTTGCATAATTTAAAATAATTTATAAAATCCTCCCACAATCTTCCTGTCCGGATGCTCAGAGTATTACATAGTAATTTAATACTTTTAAGATAATATAAAAGTCGAAGTAATGTAAGGTTAAAAGAAACAAAAGTCCGTTATTATTTCTAAAGAGGGGAACTAGTGCACTGCTCTGGAGAACAGAATTCAGTTTATATAAGCACATTCTTTATCAAGCACGCCTCATGTACAAAAATGATAATGGAGTTAGTCAGGGCTTATCTACACAGTGGAGTAATGCACACTATGGGGGTGAGATTCCTAATGTGTTATGGATTAATTGGTCTGTGCCTGCTGATGCTCACTAAAAGTTCTTAGTACACTTTAACATAGTAAGCACTAGTACTTACTACATTAAAGTGCACTAGGAAATCTTTAGTGTGCACCAGCAGTGTCTACTCAGAGTAGTTAATCCACAATAATTAGTTCCCTTTAGAAATCTTACCTCCATAGTGTGCATTGCTCCACTGTGTAGACAAGCCCTAGGTCTTCTCAAACTATCAGATCCTATATGGCCTTTTAAAAATATTGTACTGCTACTCTTTGTTCTGGAACACATGTTGCATCTTTTCTTTGCGTACAACAGGTCAGTAACCATTGAACAGAATGTTGTACAGAACTGAATGAAATAAGGCAAGGTTACAGTTCAGAATAGGAGTTGCAAGTAATAATATTAAAACCAACATGGACTGTCTCTTTTTCTGGTTAGCTTGTAAATCTGTTTGAATGTGTGTTGTCCAGAGTGTAAAATACATCAAAGGATGGGACATTGGTTGCCAAGAGGAAAGCTTGGTGAAATTAATCTTCTCAGGGCTTTATGTTTCTGTAATATACAAATGAGGTTTCTCTTTCTGGGTCCTGCTGTAGGTCTTGCGTACGCAACCCTATGGAAAGCATCTTGAATCGAGTTAAAGAAATAGGTGAGGCTTTCTGTCGGAGTTATACTAAGTCAACAGATGACCAGCCAGGATCTCACATAGGTAGGAATATGTGAAATGCATAGAATGTTTCAGCATATTGAAGTGCATCGCTTTTGTATCAAAGGCGACACGTTTATGGGAAGAAAAATGCTTGGGCTGATTCTTCATGTACTAAATAAAATGAACAATTGGTGTAGATGAAAACTGAATTTTCAACGGAGAGACAACTTGCTGCATAGAAATGTGCTAATATTACTCCAACTCCTCACTGATTGGGACAGGCTGATCAAAATTTTGAAGAGATAAATGTCCTTAGAGTGTGTTTTCTGGGACATTTCATCCATACATCAGTCCAACTCCATGGAGGTGAAGGTGCCTTCAGTACAACTCCTATTGAGACATTTATAAGATAGTAAGAATATTGCATTGGGGAGGTCAGCAATCAAACTAAAGAGTATCTTTTAAAAAAGTTTACTAAGGCATCCGTTATTTATTAAAGTAAAGGCAACAATAACTAAAATATTGAGCCTCTACTCATTGGTTCAGAACTTGTTGCATATTTTCATTGCAACAGGTCAATAACTACCAAACAGGACATTGTACAGAGTTGAATGAAACCATGCAAGGTTATACAGTAACTCCTCACTTACGGTCATCCCAGTTAACATTGTTTCATTGTTATGTCTCTGATCTGTTAGATAACATGCTCGTTTAAAGTTGCGTAATGCTTCCTTATAACGTTGTTTGGCAGCCACCTGCTTTGTCCACTGCTTGCAGGAAGAGTGGCCTGTTGGAGCTAGCTGTTGGAGGCTTGGAACCAGGGTGGGCTGGCAGCCCCCCCCATCAGCTCCCCTAAGTTCCCTGTGCGGCAGCTGCCCAGCAGGCTATCAGTCAGGTGTCCCTCCCCCCACTGCTGTGTCTCTCTCACACATGCACCCCCAGGACTTTGGAAAGTGGAGGGAGTGGTGCGCTCCAGTGGGATAGCGTGGGTTCATCATCATGTTCAGTTTCCACAGGGAATGTTTGTAGCCACTGTGTCTCCTCCCTCCATTCGTGCTGCCTTGTAGCGTGTGAGGCTACATTAACAACAATGTGTTAACCCTCGAGGGCTCAATTGAGTGCTAGATCATCATTTAGAAGCAAGGCATTCCCTAGGAAATATCCCACCCTCTTCCACCCTGACGCCACCTCCTCAACCAAGCTTCGCAATTATCATTGCTGTGTACAGTATTAAATTGTTTGTTTAAAACTTATACTGTGTGTGTGTGTGTGTGTGTGTACACATACACATAATCTTTTGTCTGGCGAAAAAAAATTCCCTAGAACCTACTACCAGTGGCCCCCCCATTTACATTAATTCTTATGGGGAAATCGGATTCACTTAACATAGTTTTGCTTAACATAACTACAATGTTAAGCAAGGAGTTACTGTAGTTAAAAATGGATGGGACTTGAAAGAAATTATATTGAAACTCTTAATAAAAGACTGTAAATTTGCATTCATCTAACAATTATTTTTAAGAGATCAAATTAAAAGGAAATAGTATACACAAAAACTACATAAGAAGTGGGGAAAAAAGGTTTCTTAATTAAATTAACTTTCCTGTATGCGTGTTAATGCAACACATTGCATATTTGAAATTCAGAAGTCTTTTACAAAACTGGAGTGGAGACCTTACACATAAGCATTCCTAAAGTTTGAACATCTAAAGAGTATGAAATACGTTAATTGCATGTAAGGTTTGAATCACATGACATTACTAAAGAGTTCAGAGTAGTATGTCCTCTTGGCTTACAACACACATGTGTTTCTGTTATGGAAAGTAAAATACTGGTTAACTTAAACAAAGCTGTTTATTCATCCCCTGTCCCCCCACCCCGCCCCCCCCAAACTGCTGACTTGGAATACAAGCTTTCAGCAATGTTTGGTTTCAATTGCAGATTTTGCTGTTAACAGACTAAAACTGGCAGAGATTTTGTATTACAAAATTTTGGAGACGATAGTAGTACAAGAAACACGAAGATTGCATGGGAAGGACATGACAGTAAGTAGAAAGCTGGAACAGAAGAGCTTCCTCTTCTTTAAGTTCACCCTTGTGAATACTTTCAGAAAAATTCCGTGTTTGGGTCAATCCACAGAGCTCCCATTTAAATCAGTCTGAAGGCAGAATTGGTTCCTCAGTCTGTTGACTAGCTAAATAGTGGATTGATGGGCTCAATTTTCCAGTTTAATATTAATTTCATTCCTTAAATGAGATTTCAAGACATTTGACCCAGTCATAGTTTCCTGAGAGCTCAATGTTTCTTCAGTGTTACTAGTCTCTCAACTAACAGTTCCTTCCTTATATTTTCTTATGGCTGCGTAGTAAATCCTACACACTCTGCTGTACTACAACTGGGAATGTAAATATTGTTTTAAAAGTTAACTGTTTAAATGATTAAAATTATATCATTTAATCAATTAACAGATTAAAGGGAGAGGGGCTGGGATTGCTCTGGCTCGGGCCTAATGGGTAGAGTGAGTAAACTGGTAAGACTAATGCTTACCAGTTAACTGTTTAATATTTTACATCCCTAACTGCAACAAAGGTGAATTCTTACCTGATTTTAAATCAAAAACTGGATTGTCAAGTAATTTGAACTGATAAAGAAAAGTGACTTGCAAATATTTCTCTCCAAGATTGTTTTTCTTCTTTATGTTATCCTTCTCTCCTGCATCTGAAATGATTCCTTTCATCTGCGTTTAATACTGATATATCCTTTTTTCCCCCCTAACTCATATGTGTTGATATGTGATATATACCTGAATAGACTAGCGTTTGACAATAAAAAGAACTATATATGAAGGTGCCTACAACTGCTAATTCTTTGCCTATTTTGTCTTTTAGAACATAGATGCTGGGCAAGGCATTTTTGTTCTCCTCTTTATCCTTCAACAAAACATCTGTTGCTTTGCAGTAACTGCAGATAGCACACTCTGCATTCTGCTTTAACTCCTGGTGTGCAGGCTTTTATCCTTTTACCCATAGTATGAAAGCAGCTTTACTGTCATTGGCATGAGGGGCTGCTTCCCCTTCGACTTGTATTATTAGTAGATAAACAAGTATAAAACCAGCCTTTACCATTTGAAACTTTTGGAAAAGCGGGAAGTAATGGAAAGGGCCAAAGAAACAGTAATTAATCTTTCAGGGAACAAATATGTAAAGTAGTTGAATGTAGTACAGTACTTAAGTATGCCATTGGAATTTTCCTTTTTGTAGCTTAAACTGTCATAATCTAGCAATGTGCTAGTTGTAATACAATTGATTTAGCTGCTATTCTTTCTCCAGTGTGTCAGCACCTATACTGCTTATAAGACAGCAAATCTGGCTGTAAAGAGTGGAACAGGCATGCTAAATGACATGATAAATTGGACAGGGTTCACAGAAGAGCCACAAGAATGATGAATAGATTAAAAAACATAGAATCATAGGACTGGAAGGGACCTTGAGAGGTCATCTAGTCCAGTCCCCTGCACTCATGGCAGGACTAAGTATTATTAGACCATCGCTGACAGGTTTTTGTCTAACTTGCTCTTAAAAATCTCCAATGATGGAGATTCCACAACCTCCCTAGGCAATTTATTCCAGTGCTTAATCACCCTGACAGTTAGGAAGTTTTTCCTAATGTCTAACTTACGCCTCCCTTGCTGCAATTTAAGCCCATTGTTTCTTGTACTGTCCTCAGAGATTAAGAAGAACAATTTTTCTCCGTCTTCCTTGTTAACAACCTTTTATGTACTTGAAAACTTATGTCCCCTCGGTCTTCTTTTTTCCAGACTAAACAAACCCAATTTTTTAAATCTTCCCTCATAGGTCATGTTTTCTAGACCTATAATCATTTTTTGCCTTTATAGTGATAAAATAAATAGATTGAGCTCCTTGAGTCTAACAAAGAAGGTTAAAGGGTGACTTGATTAGTCTAGAAGTACCTACATTGGGGAACAAATATTTGATAATGGGATCTTCAGTCTAACAGACACAAGTATAGCATGATCCAATGTCTGGAAGTTGAAGCTAGACAAATTCAGACTGGAAATAAGGGATACATTTTTAACAGTGAGGATAATTAACCATTGGAACAATTTACCAAACATCGTGGTGGATTCTCCATCCCTGACAATTTTTAAATCAAGATGGGATGTTTTTCTAAAAGATCTGCTCTAGGAATTATTTTGGCAAAGTTCTCTGGCTTTTGTTATAAAAAAGATCAGACTAGATGATCACAAGGCCTTCTGGCCTTGGAATCTATGTCCTTTGTCTCTTGACTTCTTTTTCAGTGCTTGCTCTTCTGTAACTTTTTCCATATCCCAAATCTTAATTCAGTTAAGGTTTAATTAATGAATAGTAAATTCAGGGTATGATTTAAAACAAAACTTAAATTCCTATTCTAGATTTTTTTTTAGTGTAGGCCTTAGCAGATCAAATCATCATATTTCATCTAGTGTGGATAGAGTTTGTGTGTGTGATGATGAGAATGCTGTTCTTTCTCAGTAGTTCAGTCTCTCTGGTATCATTTAAGAAAACATATTTATGAGTAATTCCTCAATGATGTGGCTGAAAACCATTTCTGTGTCCCATCTAGGCTCTTTTGGAGCAAGACATTTTCCATCGTTCCCTGATGGCATGTTGTTTGGAGATTGTGCTATTTGCATATAGCTCACTGCGAACTTTCCCTTGGATTATTGAGGTTCTTGATCTCCGACCATTCTATTTTTATAAGGTAAGCATAAACATTGTGTTCAAATACTTGGATCTGAATTATAAACTTGTAAAGTACCTCTATTTAGTATTAGATTGACAGTCCTAGAAGCCCTCTATTCCTAGGTTAGGTATAGCAGAGGGGCGAGTGCTGACCTGTAACAGGTGTGCTATTTTAGTGTAAGGCTGCCTGTGACAGGATTGGGACTCACCACTGCAGTGCCTCCTGCTGTTTACTCTGGGAATTAGGTCAGTTCATGCAAAGCACCCCCTGCCAGTGGTGTCCCGTCCATCTCTTGCCCTCAATTGGTATCTCGACCCACGTTGCTCCCAGCATCCTCTTCCAGACACTGCCCTCCGGCAGTGTCCCCAAGTCCACACTGGCCCCCTTCCAGGGGGGAGTTAACAGCAGTTTTTCCAGTTCTCTCCTGTCGCAGTGGCCAACCACAACCCCTCAAGTGTAGCCCCTCTGTTCAAGGGCCAGTTGCAGTCTGTCACGGCCACCCTTCCACAGCCAGGTGCTGTACAAGGAGAAAGGGGGGGACCCAGACCTGCCCACTACTCTGGGTCCCAATCCAAAGACCCTTTAGTGGCAGCCTCTCTGCCCTCCTCCTCTCCCCTTGTCTAACTGTTCCTAGGCCACTTCCCCTCTGGGCCTTCACATCCTCTAGGCTCTTTCTGTCAGGGCCTGCAGTCTGGCAGGTATTGGGCCAGAGCCCTTCTGTGCGCCCCCCGAACCTGCCCTGCCCAGCACTGCTCTGTCCGAGGTGTCTGTCTCGGGCTCAGGAGACAGACCTTCCCCCATGAAGGTCTGGGACAGACTGCCTGCTCCCTTCCTGGGCAGCCTTTTTATAGGGCCTAGCCTAGCCCTGATTGGCTGGCTGTAATACTGGCCCTGATTGGCTTTCTAACAGGCCCTCCCTGATTGGCTGCCACCTTGCGCAGCTGCTCTGGTCTGCTGTAGCCCAATCTGGCATGGGGGTGGGGCAGTGCCCCACCACACTGCCCTTGAATATGCTACCAAGAATTGACATCTGTTATCCAACATATGTAATACTTGTGACACCCTTTCCCTTGTAATGTAAAGGAATAAAGCACTTGTGCATGGTTTGTATACTTTATTTAATTGTAACATGCTGTCAGTTAATTTTTGATGTAACAAATGATTTGTAAACGTGACTTACTACTGTGGTTGGTCAAATAGTGGAATAAAATATTCTTAGACTATATTTGACCAGTATTTCTACCAGTATTCAAATTTACTAAATATTTCACCAGTAGTAGAACTGGTCACATACCACAAAAGTCTGTGGGAAATTCTTAAACTAATACTGATAAAATAATTCAAAATAATATATTTGTTGAGTACTGTTTGATCAGTCCTACTTGTTACATCCCATTTGTTAAATCTTTTTTCCCTTCCTGTCTTTACTTAACTGACTTTCCTGCAACAGAGCACTGTCTTCTCTTCTTGTTCCCCACTTCCACCTTTTTGTCACCGTTATTCTTCCGCCTCTCCCCCACAAATTCTGTGCCTTTCTTCTTTACTAACTTACCTTATCTCAGTCTCTCTGTCTTTTGGCCTCTCTCACAGACATACCAATACCTAGGCATCCAGTGAAAACTTCCAGGCCCTAATAGTCGGAGGTCTAGCCAGCCAGTTAAGATGTGGGGGCCCTGCTTTTCAGGAGCAATGCCCAAGATAGAAGCCAGCCTTCGAGAAACCAAGAGGGTGTTGAGACTCTAGTCGCAGTGCTGTTCCTGGACCCTCATTGGGGACCCCAGCCTTTCTTGTCAGTATGGTATATGCCCGCTCTCTTTTTCCCTTCCCAAAGCCTCTGTTTCTGACCTCCCATCGCCTCCTGGCTGTTGATGTTTGGAGGTTGGGGTGTGTCTGCTACTCTACCACTTCCTCAGCTTTTGGGTAGCTGCAAGAGTAGAGTAGTGGAAACATTCCCCTAGCCTTCATTTTAGAGTCCCTTTCCTCAGGCAATAGCCCCAGTGTGTGTGCCTCTGCTGTTGCTCGCAGTTCTTCGAGTGATTGCACATGTCCGTTCTGATTTAGGTGTGCGAATGCCCCAAGCACAGCTGTCGGAGACTTTCCCCTTGTAGTATTCATAGGCTCGGCGTTGGCACCCCCGGGTATTGTGCACTCATAGCACCAGTATATGGGGCTCCTGCCAAGTCCACACTCCTCTGTTCCTTCTTACCGCGCATCCAGCTGTCGGAACTTCCTCCTTTGCCTTGAGCAAAGTGCTTTTAGTGGTTTCCACTGTTCTTGCATTGTAAATAGTTAGTTTCATAGTGTTAGTAGTTCCAGTAGGTTAGTTAGTTATAGGTTAGGACTTCGACTCCTCTTCATACTCGGAGAGTTGGTCCGTCCCTCCCCTGGTACTGGGACATGCCTTGGGAGCCGGGTTTAAACCTAGCCTGTGCCTACTAGTGACCCTCACTTGAGTTGTCTGAAGTGTTTGGGAGAGGGTCTTAGAAAAGAGCGATGTAACATCTGGGAATTTAAACCCCGCACGCAGAGAGACAGAGCAGCAAGGCTGAAAGTCCTACTTATGGAGATGGCGCTGAGACCCGCCTCGGAGCTGAGGTCAGACTCCGCGCTGAGTACTTCAGCATCAGTACAAAGTGCACCGCTAGGGGCTCTTGGCACTGGTCCTCCTCACCAGTGCCGAAGAAGCACTGGGGCCTAAAGGAGAAGACACGCTCGTCAGCACCGAAGGCAGATAAGCGAGCACAGCGGGATAGAGCGAGACCTGTGCCGGGCTGCTCTCCCTCCCTGGCACCGCAACAACAACCACTGCCAGCACCACAGACCCCAGTAGCACTTGACCAACTGACAGGTCAGCACCTGGAGGACCAGTTTGCGGTGCCTTCGACTCTGGAAGCCTACGCTGCTGCTTCGGAGCTAATGACTCTGTCAGTGCCAAGTCCGGATAGGAGACAGAAGGCGGCACCAGCGGCACTGAGGCATTGACCGCCTTTAAGCCAGTGTCAAGACCAGCCTCCATGGGGAAGCTCCCCTTCATTGCCTCACCAGAAATGTCTCCATGGCACTGACTGCAGACACCAGGAGGATTGGCCCCACTGTGGTCACCTAGGTCCTCCTCCTTGCTGTCTTCGTCGAGCTCCAACTCCGGATCCAATTAATCAAGATGTCTGCACTGAAGGGAAGCTCCATGCCAGTCCCCATAGGCAATGCTGCCACTGGGAGCACCAGGAGCAGGAATGACCCAAGGGACCTGGCCTATGGGCCCGTGGGGTCAAGTGCTCTGCAATGGCCTTTTTGGAACCCGTGGAGGCTTCCACCAGGCCAAGGGACGGGCTCACGCTGCTCCTACTCAGTGCGCTCAGAGACTGTAGCAGCATAAGGGGCACACAGAGGTACCCCAGAGCCAACCTCCAGGACTAGCGCCGGAGCAGATCCCAGCACCATTGCCGATGCCAAAGCGGGGATGCTCCCTTGTACCGAGACCAGAACTGATACCGGTACCCAAGTCAGTGGACCTAGGGAAAAGGCGGCAAGGGATGCTATGGCAGCGCACACGTCTTCCTCATTGTCTCCAGAGGATGTGCTCGTGCTCATGCTCAAGGGGTCTTCCCTGCCACAGGACAACTTAAGGGCCTACCAAGATTTGTTAAAGAGGGTGACATCTAGATTGCAGGCAGAGGTCATCAAGGAAACTTCAGATGGGTTCCTGGACATTCTGTCAGCCACAGCCCCTGCTAAGGTGGTCCTGCCCCTCCACAATGCCATTTTGGGACCGATTAAGGCCATTTGGCAGACTGCTGCCTCTGTTCCACCCACAGCAAAGAGAACAGAAAGGAAGTACTTGGTGCCTGCCAAAGGCTGAGAGTTTCTGTTCTCTCATCCTCCTCCCGGGTCCCTCGCGGTGGTGGCTGTCACAGACATCTGTAGGGCTGCAACCTGGGCCTCAGTCCATACCTTTACGCATCACTACGCATTAAGACAACTGACAACGTCCGATGCCTCTTTTGGACTCACTGTACTGTCTGCTCTCACAATTTCAACTCCAAAGCCCATCCTTCCACTGGAGGGCACTGCTCTGAAGTCACCTAAAGTGGAGCACCCACAGGGACAGCACTCGAAGAAGAAGAAGAGAGTTATTCACCTTGTGCAGTAACGGAAGTTCTTCAAGATGTGTCCCCTGTGGGTGCTCCATTACCTTCTCTCCTCCCCTCTACTTTGGAGTTTATTACTTAGTCTCTGCAGTAGAGAACGAATAGAGCCAGCACCAGTTACCCGCCTCAAACAGCGCGAGATGGGGACTGCACATGTGCAACCCAACTGGGCACTGCTATAAAAAATCTCTGATTATGAGCACGGGCGCAAAAATGCTTGAAGTGGAGCACCCGCAGGGGGACACATCTTGAAGAACCTATATTACTGCACAAGGTGAGTAACTTTCTCTTACACAGCATTGGTTTATACTTGAATCACATTTTCTATTTGATATAGGCTCTTAAACCACACTCCTCACTGTACTGTGTCAGTGCATTAAGTGATGTCACTTAATATCTGTCGAGTCAGATTGTTCTTTGTAAAGCTAACTTCACAACCATAAGGGCTTTAACCTTTTTTCAAATGAAGGTTTAGATTGATGGGTAATGGTATTTGTGAACATCACCTAGTTATAAAGTGGTAGAGCATCTATTAAAAACTAAATTTAAATCTAATTGTAAACTGGAAATGATGGGGTGTGTGTATACATATATATAAAATCACCATTTCACATGAAGCCTTTTATACTGGGTCTTAAAATTCTAAACTAAACTACATTTTTGCTCAGTGAAGATGAAGGAGAGGGAGAAAGAAACAAATATATAACAAAGGAGGAAATAGAAAAGGAGTACTTGTGGCACCTTGAGACTAACAAATTTATTTGAGCATAAGCTTTCGTGAGCTCACGAAAGCTTATGCTCAAATAAATTTGTTAGTCTCAAGGTGCCACAAGTACTCCTTTTCTTTTTGTGAATACAGACTAACACGGCTGCTACTCTGAAAGGAGGAAATGTCTTCATAGATTCTAAGGCCAGAAGGGACCATTATGATCATCTAGTCTGAACTCCTGTATAACACAGGCCCTCTGGGACTTGGAATCAGATGGAGAATTGATGTAGGGAAGCTATTCCAGACCACAGGATTCCAGCATAGAATGCTTTTGTACCAGCTATGGCAAGATGGTATGTTTTGGGGTGAGGGGAGTGTGTGGGATGAGCAGAGGTATCAGGAAGAGGAGCAGAAACATGCAAGGTATGTAATAGAAGCTGGAGCTTTTAAAAACAAGGAGGGAGGGTTGAACTGGACCTGAAATGAATGGTCAGTTGATGAGTGTACCATGCTTTCTAGCCTGATCCCATAGTCTCACAGTCGTAAACACACCCAGGTCATTTTCCTTTCATCACATGTATCTTTTATTCCACAGTTCTTTCTTAAACAGAACATGACACAGGCATATTGCAGCAGGAGCTTTCCACACTGCTTCTCTCCTTTGTACTGGTCACCTTCTGAGCTTCCCCTCCTGCTTCCTGTTCCTTCCATTTATATTCTCCCAATTGTATCAGTAGTCTAGTAATTACAACCCCGGTACTCATAATCCACCAACAGAAAATAGCTAATTATTCCCAGTTGTGCCGGCAACCTTTTCTGAGCTGCAGCAATGTCAGTGACCAGGGTGCTATGACTAGCATTCTGTCAGAGTGTGATTAAGGATGGGTGAGGTGGTTTTGCTTTTAGTATGGCTGATTAAACTGCTTTGCTTCCCTTTAGGTGATTGAAGTATTGATTCGGTCTGAGGAAGGACTCTCCAGAGACATGGTAAAGCACCTCAACAACATTGAAGAACAGATTCTGGAGAGTCTAGCCTGGACCAGTGACTCTGCCCTATGGAAAGCTCTACAAGCCTCAGAAAACAAGGTCCCAACCTGTGAAGAAGTATGTTGAAGGGAAAATAAATTACCAGAAAATGCAAATGTACTCCTTTTCCAGGGCTGATATTTTGTGTAGGATATTAATCAAATGCAACAATTTATCCAGTAGTGAAATAATTATAAAACGAAGACACAGTGTTCTCTGACACCCTTTTTAATAATGGTAGATGGTACGAAGAGGCGAAGATTATTTATTCTTAAACTGGCATCTCTTATATCCCAGGTAATATACCCAAGTAATTTTGAAGCCGGTAATGGAGGAAGTGGGCTAGGGCACCTCCCTCTGATGCCAGTATCTCCTATTGTGCACCCCCGGTTGAAAGAGGTTCGCACAGATCTTGGTGGGAGTTTACGACGGGGTGAGTAGAGAGCTTCTGATGTGTTTGTAGTATATAGTATTTCAAACCATTCATAGTAATACATAGAGAAATCCTGGGTTTCTTTGAATTGTGTTTGCTTAGAATCTTAATCATTTGGCTTTTCAAACTTTCTGTTTGGAAATCTTCTCCCTAACTCTATGGCTTTGTCTCCATAACACTCAATTGCTTGTTCTTCCATCAGTTGTATTGCAGTGAGTGACACACCAGTGTTTATGTCCACATTGCCTAACCTGAATAGAGTAATATTTGCCTTTGTGCCTTTTCTAGGGTTGTCTATAGTGATTCAGATGGTGTAGCTGTAATCCTTGAGAGCTGGTAGCTCTGCTTCTCCTGCTGTTCTAATCTATTCAGTAGTTCACTATGCAGTTTGGTTCTGTCCTATATTTTCTATCTTTATGCCTCCGTTCTCAGATTTGACTGGTCAATTTCTTTTTTAAAAAATACTATCCTCTATCTCATTAGTTCTTAAATGGACACTTATTTTTAACAAACAAAGCAAAACAAAAAAACCCACAACCAACAACTTGGACTTGCTATTTTTTCACAAAAAGGCAAACATTTCTGTCCACTGAACTGTATGACCTGTTGTTACCATTCAAAAAAATGTACAGAAAGTAAAGAAGCATACTGAAGGGGAGAAGAGCAGAGCTTGAAAACATGCACCTGCCTTTGCTGACAAGGAAATGTCCACGGGGAGTGGATGAGAGCTAGAGGCAGAGTGAAACTTCCAAGTTTTTAGCCAGTTTCACTTTGCTGTTTACCCAGAAGCTCTTCTGCTTTGTGGGATGGAGAGGGACACACACCATGTAGTATCTTAAGCAGCAGGCGGTTATCTTGAGCTTCTGAAGGGTTCCATGGAGGAAAAGAGTGAAACTGATATTGTACTGATCAGTTTAACTGCTTCCACTCATGCTATTGGGCAGCAGCAAAAGTGAGCAGAGTTTGTGAGCAGTAGAGTTAAGGGAATGAGCAAAGGGAGGGAGGGAGGATTCAAGCTGGATAGTAGCGAGGGAATTAAAGAGGAAGAGACAGAGACACAAGATGTCCGAGCAGCTAGAGCACAGGGAAGATGCGACTGGAGGAGGATGAGGTTTCCATCGCTTTCCAGCGACTAAGAATCCAAGTATATTGTCAATCAAATGAAATTGTTTGGGAATAGTAGAGAATAAGGGGAAGCAATTGAAGGGCTAGAGGACTTTGATCTGTGTATTATGGTGCTACTGTTCTGTCTGTGGAAGGTTTCTTGTGATTCTGACTTCTGTTTTGTAGCTTGGGGACTAGCAGTTCTCTCAGTTTGGAAATTGTATTTCTGTTAAACTGCTGCATATTGTAGTGATGTTTTTTCCTTTCTTGCATATTAGACATGCAGCCATTGTCTCCGATCTCTGTTCATGAGCGCTACAGTTCTCCTACAGCTGGAAGTGCTAAGAGAAGGCTCTTTGGCGATGACAGCCCAAAAGACATGCAGGTAGAAAAGGTTCTATCTGAAGGAACTAAATTGAAAATTGCCCCAGCTTCAAGCGTTGACGCTGAAAACGTCTCTCTCTCAACGGGACAGACAATTTTGACCATGGCAACAGCTACTGTAACAGGGACAATGGGACAGAAAGTTACAATCCCACTGCATGGTAAGATATCCATTCATTTTACTTCACTGCACTTTATAATGGTGCTGAATGTTTTATTATGTCCATTTTCTGGGGTTTGGTTGTACTATCAAACACAATGTAGCTTCAGTTTGGAGGGCTTTGCATTTTAAACAAGTAACATCTAAAGAAAATTGTTTTGAAAAGAAAAATTAAGAGAAAATATACTTTGCCATCCTGAGTGCTTATTATTGCGTGGGCTAGTGTCTAGACAAAGACTTGTTGCTTACAGGTTATCCTGGTAATGCATCTACTGCAGGCTGGGGCAGGGTTTGTGAAGTAGTTGCTTTGTCAATTTTGCTTCGTCACAGATGAAGCCTTATGAAGATGTATGACACAAGTAATTCTTGGGGATTTAATATGCTTAGGTCCTCAGGTACAGCTGTGTCCTTATCTGTTTTCCTATCTGTTTACTCAGAATATCATGATTTTACTTAAGGATAAGGGGATATAGATTTTAGAAACAAATTGATACATGAAAGATTCACAGTACTTGACTCTGACAGATTGAAGTTGGCTGTATGGCAGCTCCCCATATCCTGCTCTGGCCCATGAGGAATGGACTAGATGATTTAATGGAGCTCTCTCTAATTTCCAATATTTCTAATATAAAAAGAAGCATATTAAAGTTTAATATTTACAAATTTCTGTAAGGTCTATTGCCATGGGCGACCTTTAAAGGAGCAAAATAAAATTAGATATGCCATCCACAGAAACTAAGATAATAGTCAGTCAAGTGCTCTCTAAATTAAATTCATTCAGAAACCGTTATATGTTCGTGATACCAAGAGGAGCAAATTCTAAGGGTAGTACCTTTGACTGAGAGCCATGCTGCCAAACATGGGAAACCATGTTCTTGATATTTATAGTGCAGTACACAACAATCCATGGAATACAACTGAGACACTTACCTTTGCCTTCTTTTCTAAAGACTCCTAGACAGAAGTGACTTGGCAGTCATAATGTCTATCTCACTCATTCAGGAGTACGTTCCACTGCACTCCCTGTACTGCTTTATTACCTATGCTTGTACTTGCAGCACCCTACAACTGCATTGTATAGTGTCATGCCCTGAGTGTTCAACTTCAGCAGTCTCCCAGCCGATCTTAATAGATATTAATTGCTGTGCAGGTGTATAGGGTGGGAGGTATTCTCTCGATACCTTGGCTCCACACCATTTAGGCTTTGAATATGATTACCAACATCTTTGAATTACAGCCAGAAGAAAACAGGAAGCCAGTGTAGAGTCTTGACCTCAGGTCCTGTGTTTGAGGCATCCTGAAGCAGTTAGGAGGAAGGCAGAAGGGTTCTCAAGTAGCTGGAGGAATTGGTCCTAAAACACATTTGTCCCAGTTGGTAGTAACAAAGGTGTGGATGACTGTGTGAGATCCAGATCGAAGAAGAATGGTCCATGATCAATGGCAAACTCACCCACACTATGGGTCACCAATGCAGGTTAAGTCAAAGAGCAGCGATAAATCCAATGAGACCCTGAGGATGTGAACCATTTTGGTGAAAGTCAGATATTACACCCTTATTAGCTGATGCAGACATACCATTGGCTTAATCCCCCATCTCCTTCCCCTTACCAGGAAACAAAACTGCAGGTTTTCCCAGCTTGAATCTTCATCCATCTCTCTATATTGTATGCTGGCAGAGTAAAGAGACTATAGACGTCATAGTGTTTGAGATGGTGGCAAAGACCTGAGTATTGTTATACTGATGACCCAGTAGTCCAAAGTCTTGATCTTTCCAAGTGGCTTAATAGGAATGTCAGACAGAAGGGATTACAAAATGGTATGCTATGGAACCCGGCATTTGCAGGGCCAAGGGAAGAAGAGATTGCCGAGCACTACCCTTTTTAGAAGTTTCTGAGAAGAAGTAAACCCACTGAAAGATTCCTCAGTCCACTCCTGCAATATTTTGCAGGCAAGTCAGTCAGACCTTAGAGTCACAATGTTATCCAGAGCTGCTGATAAATCTATTAAAATCAGCTTGGGAACTTTACCTTTTACATCATCACTAGAAGATCATCCATATCAATAGAGATGTTTCCATAAACAAGCCTGAACCCAGAAGTTAGGCATCAAAATCTGTATAATCAGTACTGGAGGTAGCTCATCACTATCTTTTCAATTACCTTCTCTTAAAAGGGGAGATTCAAGGCAAGACAAAACTGTGTGTTAATCAAATATGGTGTCTTGAGCAAGGTCCTAAGCACTCTTTATTTAAATGTTATTGGTATGTTGCTATCCCTAATGGAGGCATTAGGAATCTTTGACAATAATGGGCCTGTTGTCTTTTCCATTGCTTTCATCATCCATGAAGGACACAGGGCCCTTTCCATACATGATGTGATTTGCTTGGGGTTACAACCAAAACCTCAGCAAGAGAAACCATCTGAGAGCCACCCAGTACAGGTGAAGGAGTACTTGTGGCACCTTAAAGACTAACCAATTTATTTGAGCATAAGCTTTCGTGAGCTACAGCTCACTTCATCGGATGCATGCTGTGGAAAGTTTAGAAGATCTTATTATATACACACAAAGCATGAAAAAATACCTCCTCCCACCCTACTCTCCTGCTGGTAGTAGCTTATCTAAAGTGACCACTCTCCTTACATTGTGTATGATAATCAAGATGGGCCATTTCCAGCACAAATCCAGGGTTTAACAAGAACGTCTGGGGGAGGGAGGAAAAAACAAGGGGAAATAAGCTACCTTGCATAATGACTAAGCCACTCCCAGTCTCTATTCAAGCCTAAGTTAATTGTATCCAATTTGCAAATGAATTCCAATTCAGCAGTTTCTCGCTGGAGTCTGGATTTGAAGTTTTTTTGTTGTAAAATAGCGACTTTCATGTCTGTAATCGCGTGACCAGAGTGATTGAAGTGTTCTCCGACTGGTTTATGAATGTTATAATTCTTGACATCTGATTTGTGTCCATTTATTCTTTTACGTAGAGACTGTCCAGCTTGACCAATGTACATGGCAGAGGGGCATTGCTGGCACATGATGGCATATATCACATTGGTGGATGTGCAGGTGAACGAGCCTCTGATAGTGTGGCTGATGTTATTAGGCCCTGTGATGGTGTCCCCTGAATAGATATGTGGACACAGTTGGCAACGGGCTTTGTTGCAAGGATAGTTTCCTGGGTTAGTGGTTCTGTTGTGTGGTATAATCACCAGCAACCACATCCCCCCCGCCCCCAGACGTTCTTGTTAAACCCTGGATTTGTGCTGGAAATGGCCCACCTTGATTATCATACACAATGTAAGGAGAGTGGTCACTTTGGATAAGCTATTACCAGCAGGAGAGTGAGTTTGTGTGTGTGTGTGTGTTGGGGGGGGAGGGTGAGAAAACCTGGATTTGTGTTGGAAATGGCCCACCTTGATTATCATACACATTGTAAGGAGAGTGATCACTTTAGATAAGCTATTACCAGCAGGAGAGTGGGGTGGGAGGAGGTATTTTTTCATGCTTTGTGTGTATATAATAAGATCTTCTAAACTTTCCACAGTATGCATCCGATGAAGTGAGCTGTAGCTCACGAAAGCTTATGCTCAAATAAATTGGTTAGTCTCTAAGGTGCCACAAGTACTCCTTTTCTTTTTGCGAATACAGACTAACATGGCTGTTACTCTGAAACCAGGACAGGTGGCATATTTTATCTCCCACTCTTGTACTGTTCCTACTGAAGTGGTCAGCTCTGACTGAATTCCAGTTTATATTATCTGATGTGTACGTTGACTACTATACATGTGAGAAACACTTGATTTTACATTGCTGAGACAATCTGGGTTAATCAGATTGCCCAGAATTCAGAATGCTTCCTCTGATTTGGATTTTGCAGAAGTTAAGGCTGAGAAGACAACTTTCATCACCTCAATAATAGTATCAGCATAAAAATGCCATAATTCTTGACCAAGCAATTGGATTTGGGGGTGAATCTTCTGTTAGTCCTCCAGGCTTCTCCCTTGCTGCTTCATGTTTCTCTAGCTCTGTATACCACAGTAACGTGCGAGGACAATGCATGGGGCATCATGGTGTCATTGTCTGTCAGATGGTCGTGGACAGTAGTGCAGCTAAGTTGCACTAGACCAGTGGTTCTCAAACTTTTGTACTGGTGACCCCTTTCACATAGCAAGACTCTGAGTGTGACCCCCTCTTATAAATTAAAAACACTTTTAAATATATTTAACACCATTATAAATGCCGGAGGCAAAGCGGGGTTTAGGATGGAGGCTGACAGCTCGCGACCCCCCGTGTAATAACCTCACGACCCCCTGAGGGGTCACAACCCCCAGTTTGAGAACCCCTGCACTAGACTGTCAAGTTGGTCCCGTGGCTGAGCTGGAAATCTGTGTTTTGGAAATACAAAGGGCCCATGATTTTCCAAGGGCGACCCATAGAAACTTCTCCACCTGACTGAAGCATGGAAAAGCTCTCCGAGAAGGAGATGATTGGACTGACAAAGATGTATTTTAAACAAATCCTGTTATCGGTCCCATTCATAAAATGATGAAACCAGAGGTGTTAGTTGAGCTGAGCTGGACTACAATCCCGTAAACAAGATGCATCATTACTATACATGCTGAAGATACTGACAGTAAGTCTTGGCAATTGCAATGTCAGACTTGGCAAATGGTTAGCCTTGAGTAGGAATTTTAGTGAGTAAATGGGGTGACCTGTGCACAATCAGATGCCCAAATGCACTTTATTTTGGGACTCGCAAGTGTGTTCACCTAGTCTGAACTAGCTTTTCAAGTTCACTTTTAGAGTTCCATAGGGCTAGAAACAAATGCTTTATAACCACTTGAAATCTAGGAATTCAAGCTTTCAAGAGGCATAAAGCCATTCTTTTTAACTTTAGTAGTTTGTGGGATACCTGCTTCTAAAACCACTTAGGAATTAAATGGAGGAGAGACCAGATGTGCTGAGCAAGATGTGATTTTAGGGGCCTATAACATAGGTCTTGTC